TTAGGCTTATGTTTGTAAACTTGTGTGTAGAAGGACATCTTGTCCAAAAAGTTGTAAACCTGTCACACAGAAATACATTTTTAAACCATTTTCATAAGGCAATGTTAAGTGTTTGTCTAATCTGTGAAGGTGTGAAATCTACCTTTTTCACTGTCGACTTGTTTGACAGAAGAGCAGTTAGAAGTTGTAACAGTGGTCCAATCTTGTGAGGGAACATCCCAACCGCACTGTCCAGGATCATTCCTAATCCCATGTTTGGTTTCTGGAATAAAAATTGACAACAGGTCTCATTTTTTTTGTCACTTGTACTTATCCAATTGCATTGATATTATTTATTGATAAGAGTGTCTTCAGCGTTTTCTTTTCTCACCATTTCCCAAAACACTTCAGCCAGATTCGGAGCAGAAAGGACCTCACAAGCAGCATCGATTAGGTGGGAGCACTGCGTTGCCACACCATCAGTCTGCAGCATTCAGTATGGTGAAGACATGTTACAAACAAAAGTTTCAAATTTAAAAGAAATAATGTAGAGATCTAAAATCTGACCAAGTACCTGTAAGCTTTCTTCTTCAAAAGAAGTGATCACAAATGAGAGGAGTCCGTAGATACACATCTTTGCTGTGCTTGCTGTGCACTGAAGGGAAAGAGTCAGAGAGTGAGAGATAACATTTTATGGATAACACAAATACATAGAGAACAGATGCTGGTGCCTACTTGTGCGTTTATTAATGTGAAAATTAGGATAGATAAATATTTGTGATGCACATAATAAAGATGGTGTTGAGGTAAAACTCCCCTCACAGCTCAAACCAAATCATCCATTTGGGCTTTTGTTAAATGTGGGGGTGGAATTTTAAAATGCAATGACGTTTGCAGTGCCTTCAATGTTTGGCTCCCCTACGATTATAGAGAATGAGAGGCATCATTGTGATTGTTATAAAACTTGTCCAAAGTACAACATGTTTCCTGTCTGCCACATGGTTTTCATTTGAGTCATTTCATCAGAGTGTGATTAAGGTCTGAGGACCCATGTGATTACATTTAACTACCTCTGAGAAAATCAGAAGCACTCCAAAGAATAAGATTAGAGAACCACCACTCTGAGGCTTTTAATTAAGACCAACTAAAGGCCCTGTTATGAGGTGTACAGCAAAGTAATGTCATTGGAGCAGTTTAGGTTAATGGAGGCCATAGAGTCAGAGTTCTCCAAAAACTTAAAATGTTTACGAAGCCACACAGTAACCATTGAATACAGTATCCTTCAAATGTGCATTACACCTGGTGTTCTCTTACATTATTCCCTGAGACTCCAAGGCCTTTCAACATGGTTGAAATATACTTGAACACCCCCAGCTGCAGAGCAGTGTTGCCTATCCTCCTGATCACCGGGCTGGACTCGTCCGGTCTCAATGTGTGTCTCAGGAGGACCCAAGCAAGCAGCACCGGCCCGTGATGAGGGATGTCACCGAATGTCAGCAGCAACTGACTCATCTCCTGGAAGAGGCAGATAAAGAATACACCTTCAGATGTCTGAGTAGTACGTAAAACTGTAGACTGATTTGTTGAGGTTATTTAGAGACATTGACTCATCGAAATTAGTCATCACAACAGAGGATGCAGCACTTGAGGCTTTGAGAAGTCAATAAAATCTAAAGAATATACCGGCAGATCACAACCCATCTGCATTGTGACCCTATGGGGGGTGAGAAGTCATACTTTCAGTTTGAATACAGACTGAAAGTTTTTTTTACCAGAAAAGCTGGAATTTAACCAAGTATGTTGCTTTTTTTTTAGTCCTTCATAAACACTGTATGGTTGGGATGCACTACAACATACTTATATCTGCTGCATCTAGAGAGTCAAATCATACCTTGATGACGTCTGGAGCACTGGAGAACTGATGCTGCTCTGTACAGTCTTCTAGGGCACACTTGTGCAGGAAGTCTATGTCCATTCCTTCAACCAGGATGAGAGAACTCAGATATCTGCAGCCAAAAAGACAAATGAAAGTTATTAAAGATCACTAGGAATTATATGATAAGCAAGGTATGAGCATAAATGTTTCTGTGTTTACATAAAGAAGTGAATCTGTCAATGAATCCTGATCATTTTACCAGCAGCACCCAACTTAATGCTTCCTCTGTCTGCTCATAAACACAAACCCTTTGTGCTCTTACCCAATGCGGTCAACCAATGAGTCCATGCTTTTGTCTACTAGGTGTCTGTTGGTCTGTCGCAAACCAAACCCCTGCTCCTTAAACATCTTTGTGAAGCTCAGCAGGTCGGACGGTCTCATCTCAAAGTAAGCATAGTACAGGAAGATGATCTCCAGCAGCAGAGACTGTTCTCTCAGACACTGCAGGAACCACCGTGACACCTGCCTCTCCGTCTGGTACAGAAAACATTATTTTGACAAACAAATGTAAGATCTGACTTCATGTCAAACAAATGAATAACACATTATATTTACAGTTGATCTAGGTTACAATCTATAACACATACAAAATAAATGAAGCAAATTACCATGAGATTTCCATGGGTTTCCCATGTTGGTGCTTCTGCTTTAAAAAGGCTCTCAAACTGTGACTGGTAGTTGCTCACCAGGTCTTTTTCCAGTTTATTGACACAGTTACAGTACTCAGCCTGGACAAATAACAAACACACCCAGATTTATGTGAGAGAAGCAACATCAAATAAACTTGATTTCAGTGAGAATCAACAAACAAAGTTATGTTCTTAAATTATGAGATGTTGTGAACTAAATCCAACTGTTTCTCACCCTGTATGGATGTCGCTCATCCTGAAAGTATGTCAGCAAGAGGAGGACACATCTGAGCAGACACATGCGCTCCTCATAGTAATAGTCAGCTATCTGTAAATAAACACACACATAGGTCATGAAGACTTGATTACATAAGTTGCCATGATGATGAAGAACTACGTGAAACAATAGAGTAAATAAATAATTGCAGATCTCTGTACTGACCTTCAGTAGCAGTGATTGGCTTTGTCGCTCATCCTTGAGAACAACCTGTTTCAGAAGACTCGGTTATTCACTTAATATCTTTCACAATAAAAGCTTTTCTTTGGCAAACATCTGCTGCATAAGTCATTGAATTACTAAATCTCACGCACAAAACAGATTTAGACAAAAAGTTAAAAATTTGGTAGATATATCATCACATTAAATATTTATGAGCATAAATGTTTCTATTAAACTGACTTAAGGAGGCTCTTTTATAAATGCTGAACAAGAGAAAAGATTTTCAGGCACATTCTTTAAATTCAAAACTAATTAAGCAAGTGAGAAGAGGCACCTTTAATGAATCGCGGGTTCCTCTGTAATCCTCCTGTAGGTAGCACTGTAAAAGCTGCACACTCTGCTGCTCATCAAGAGCCTGTAATGTTATGACATTGTTATTAAATCATCATGATATGCACCAAATGAAAACAGTAAATCACATTCTACATAAAACATTAAGGCATTTTAACACTTACCAACAGTTTACTGATCCTCAGACCGAAGTCCTTTAGTGGCTGTGCAACATCTTTGTTCTCCTTCACTTTCCCAGCAGAGGATGTGCTAGAACAGGGGAAATGACAATTACCCTTCCCATTGAAAAAAAAAAAGTAGCATATTTGATGTCAAGACCAAAATAACTGTACTATACCTGGGTGGTTTGTAGTAACGGAGTCCTTGATGCAGTCTGTCTCTGTGTCTGTCCAGTTCTGCATCTATCTGAGCCTGTGGTCATCAAACATTTCATGAGAAGAGACAAAAAGCCACTTGTAGTCCAGCTGTTAGTGTGATTTTATGTATTGCCTCAAGAACACAAATCATTCATAAGATTTAAGGATCATGTATAAATGAGACGATCTGGGGTCCCTAAAGATATTCCTCTTTATCTATCTCCAATTCATCTACAATGTTATGCTAGCTACACACTCGAGCATTCACAGTGCATGACAACAGGTGGTTAAGAAGACATACCGCCTCTCGTAGCGCAGATCTTCCCAGCAGGATGGTCCATAATTCTCGACAGCTCCTAAGAGAAAGAGGGGCTTTACTTTAGCTAAGTGACATCTGATATAAATGTACACTACACAGGAGGCTAACTATCAAACACTTCCATTAGCTTCTCCTTGTTCGTAACTAACCAGTGCCGGTTACAGCAGCAAGTTTTGGAGCATTTTAAAAACAAATCGAACGCAGGCTCTTCGTGGGGTTAAATGACCAGAGCTGGTCTGTGGGCAGACAGCTGAGTGCTGACATGCTGTTGTTGACATGCGGCTGACACGCCGTGCTGCTGAAAAGCCATTCAAACATTTCAATGCTAGCACTTGCTAAGCTAAGTCAGCGTGGCGCTAACATCTCAAAACACGCGCTGTCGAGAGCAAACATGGCTGCTGCTCCAACTCGACAGACACACACGTCCCGTATTAATGTCCACGCACTGGTAAACACCTCGAGAACAACTATTTAGACGAAGTAAACCTTCGTTGAGATGTGTTGCTATCAGCCTACCTAACGGTCAGCTCCGATTCCGCCATCTTCTTCCTGCCGTTTGATTGGCTGCTGCGCTGTTACGTCCTCACTGTCGTCATCAGTTTCTTCTTCGCCCAGTAGTTTTGAATTTTTTTTGTCTCTCTACCGCCGACGTCCGGAGGTAACTGTTAGAAATTCGTAAATTCTCCCAAAATAATAATAAAAACATAAATAGAGTAGAATAAATGTAGTTTCTTACATCTTTAGTCGAATATCATTTATATTTTCACCTATGCTAATATGTTTCATTTATGTTTTTTAAACTGAAGCAGCTTTAATGCAACTGAGGGGTGTAGCTTAATAATACAAATATATATGTACATACATGTGCTAAAGAACAACTATATATTTCTTGTATTTATATGAATGTAAAAAGAAACAAAATGTAAATAATAATAATAATAAACCTTTAAGATTTTTTTTTTTTTTTTTTTTAACTTTCGTACCACGTGACCCGGCTGTCAAACATGGCCCCGTCCTGCTGGGTGTGAGAGGAGCAGCTGACAAAGGACAGAAAGCAGAACCTCCGGCTCACTCCTCCGTCCATCGCTGCTGCTGTGTGGTAGGTTCGCATGTGTTCGTCCGTCAGGTTCTTCTCTCTCGTCTCTGTGGTGTGAAGCTTTAGCCGCTTCTCTCAGCTGTTTCCCCGCTAGTTAGCTCGATGCTGCTCCGGTTTGCAGCAGCAGCAGCATCATCTGCCCTGATCTGCAAAGGAACTGGTTCCTCACTGCTGCGAGGATGCAACTGACCCGGAGCTGTTGTTTTATGTGGTGTTTTATTTTCACTGTGTTCATCGGATATGTCAGATATAGTAGCCCGCTGCTAGCACAGCTGATTCAGCCTCAGCAGAAAGTCAGTGCAACTCCGACCCCCCCACCACACACACACACACACACACACACACACACACACACACACACGGAACAAAAGGTTGCATTTCTATTTCCTCCAGAGTCTCCCTCATGTGGTCAGATTGTGTGTGTGTGTGTGTGAGTAACACTGACTGGGTGAATGTTCAGTCTGATCATAGTTCATGGCAGACAGCTGATAAAGCATGATCAAGGTTCACTACTGGGAAAAGCTCGAATCAATACACCCAGTGTCACAACAAGTTTGTCAGAATTGTATGATACCCTAGATAATTTAATTAATCTGTTTACAAACTCATGACATTTTCCTCCTGACTGATCTAATGTCTCTTCTCCTCTTTTCTCTGATAAGTGCCGGCCAAATGATGAAGTGTGCCAGAGTGAGGAACTGACAGAAGAAGGCCGTCATTGTTGCTGACCATCTGCTCAGATCGACCCTCCACACCCACTCACTCCCTTCCTCCCTCCCTGCAAAGCCCTCCACCCCGCAGCCATGCAGATCAATCCAGTGCTGGTGGAGTCCACCGTGGTTTTGGCTGTGGTGCTATGCGTCCACATGGCGGTCTGGAACCAGCACTCCTGGTGCAGCATAGCCCTCGTCATCCAAGCTTTCTATGTGCAGCACAAATGGGACCGCCTGCTCCGGTCAGGAGGTGCCGTGTTCCAGTTTCGGCCAGCAGCAAATAGCGGTATCGTACCGGCCTCCATGGTGATGCCCTTGCTCGGTCTGGTACTGAGAGAAAAGTGCTCCGACTCAGGGAATGTCTACTTTGAGCGCTTCTCCATGGTTGTCACCATCACAGGCATGATGCTGGCTCTGTTTCTCTCTCTGATTGCGCTCGGCATCACCAGACCTGTGCCTACAAACACTTGTGTGATCGCAGGCATGTCCGGCAGCGCCATTCTTTACACAACAAAACAGACACTTACGGTTTCTGAGGTCATTGAAGTGTTAGAGGTACTTCTGATCTTCGTGTATCTCAGCCTGATCGTACTTTATCTGCTGCCACGCTGCTTCACACCTGGAGAAGCGCTGTTAATTGTTGGTGGAATCAGTTTCATCGTCAACCAGCTCATCAAGCGCTCCCTGAACCTGGCAGAGGTCAAAGGAGATCCAGTGAACTATTTCCTGCCGGTGGTGGTGGTGGGCTCGCTGCTGCTGGGTGTTTTCTTCGCCCTGCTCTTCTGTTTCATGGAGTCAGAGACCTGGGTGTCCTCGCTTTTCTTCCACATGATGACGGCTGTCCTGTGTCTGGGAATCCTCATGCCGTGGCTCTCCCTGTTCATCGGCCGACACCCCATCATGTGGCTGCTGGACTTTCTCACGTTAAATGACAGAAGACTCTGTCTGTTGGGGTACTGGGTGTTTCTGGCTGTCGTGGCCACCTGTGTTGTGTTACACCAGAACTACCAGCGCCAGTCTGGGTCCAAGAAGCACCAGGCCTCGACTGTTGTCAGGAAGTACTTCCATCTGATTATTGTGGCCACGTATGTTCCAGGGCTCATATATGACAGACAGCTGCTTCACGTGGCATCTGTGGGTTGCCTGGCTATTTTCTTGTTCCTGGAGTATGTGCGTTACTTTCGGATCAGGCCACTGGGTCAGCTGCTCAGGCAGCTGCTCACACTGTTCCTGGATGAGCGAGACTCTGGGCCTCTCATCCTGACCCATGTCTACCTGCTGCTGGGCATGTCTCTGCCCATATGGCTGTTCCCTGGGCCCTGCGCCCCTAAGGGGATACTTCCTGGTGCGGGCGGCCTGGTGCCTTACGCAGGGGTGCTGGCTGTTGGGGTCGGAGACACTGTGGCGTCAGTGTTCGGCAGCACCATGGGGGAGATCCGCTGGCCTGGCACTAAGAAAACCATGGAGGGGACTGCAACATCTGTGTTTGCCCAAATCATCGCTGTAGCCATGTTTCTCATCTTCGATGGGGGTATCAATCTGAACTCCACCTACTCGTGGATCGTTGGCTCCATCACTCTGGTGGCCATGTTGGAGGCCTACACCTTTCAAATAGACAACCTCTTTCTCCCGCTCTACCTTTTCATCCTGCTGCTGCTCTGAACAGACAGATGGCCCAACACTGTCTCCTGGGGGGAAGCAAGAATGGTCAATTTGGGAGGGAAACAAAAAAAAGATAATCAAAGGGATAGAAGTCCCCTTAGGAATCGGTGAAGTTATTTTCTCTGGCACAAGAAAGAAATGATGAAAAGCTGACAGCTTAACTGAGCCTGGTCATTTTTATGTCAACAAACCAGTGTGGCAGCAACCGAATGTGCTCACTGTCTCTGGCAGCAGTCTGCTGTCTTCAGAGCACAAGTCATTTCAGTATGAGTATAAGGAAAGAGACGAACATTTCACAATTCAGAAAGTTATAAAGAAATGTGAAGAAGAGTTGCTAAATATTCTGACAGCAGTGGTGTATGGTCTCTTTGCATTTCACCGTCTTGTCATGAAGGTACTAAATAACTGATTTATGCAAAAGATTCAGATAAATTGGAAAAATAGTATTTTTAAGCACTGGATTCTGAATATACAGATGATGCTAGAAGGCACATGTCGATCATCAAATAGGAGGTTGTCCTATCTTGTCCCTTTCTTGGAATTATATGCCTTCTGTATTGCCTTTGAAGAACATTATTTAAAGTTAGCTTGTTGAAATGTCTGTTTCTTGATCAACCTTTTTCATTATTAGACGATCATGAGATTTTGATGATGGCAATATGACGAAGGACTCACTGATGAAAACATTTGCCTTAACAAGTAAATTTTCTATCACACGTTACCTTCTATTGTAAATGCTGTAGATGAAAGCATGGCAGCCCCGCTCAACTCATTTATAAGGGCTGGTTTATACTTCAGTATGGCAGAAACTCACTATGCTCCTGCATGACACTAATGTGAAATCCAGTACTGTAACATGTCCACAGATATACTACAGTATATTTCTGTTCGGTACATTTTATTTGCTTAATATTTCTGTGGTTTGATGGGACCATTAAGGGTAAACTTAACGTATACATTTCTTTGTGATACTGAGCCTTCATTACATCACATACTTTTGGACTCTGTAGATATGATTTGGGCCAAACTAATGAACACAGGCCCTTCCTAGTATTATTAATTTAAGTTATTTAATTTATAGAAATATCTTCAGATATCATTAGGCTAGATCCATAGACTTTATATAAAAATGGACAACTTCTCTCCTTTTACCTCCACTATCCAGAAAAGAAGCGAAAATGTCAAATTATTGATACAAATGCTGTCATCCTGTGGTGATGACATCATTTCAGGAGTAGCGATCAGTTATACAAGCACTCGACCCATCGCAAGTCAGTCTCAGTAATGATGTTTCACCCAGTTTTTAATCGCATCAAGTAACTGAGAACTACCTAAAGTGACAGAAACCATCTTTGAAATAATTATTTGACTTTTTAAGTTTGCCCCCTGTCCCATGTACTAACATGGAGGCTAAGTTTATGACCCCGTACTGCATCCAGCCACCAGGGGGCAATCGTTGTTCATCTTTACATACAGTCAGTGTTTGATGTCATCATTCTGAGATGAAGGTGCATCAGTTCAGAACCTGAAATGTGTTTTCAGAATGAATTTAGTTTCCATTCATCTGTAAGAGTTCTTTTTTAATGTGATGACGGTTTATGAGCATGATTCTTCTAGTATATTGTTTTTGCCATCATCCTTCTGTTTTGAAAAATGTAATATTGCATGTTAAGTGAGTCCAGAGAGAAAGATAAAAGTGATATTCCTCCAATTTTCAGTCCATTATTTTAATGCTGGTGTGAGGATTGAGAGGAGGAACCTGTCAATGAGATGTCAACATTAACCCTTTGGTGTCTCAGTTTGATTTCAAATGTATCTAAAGAATTTTGGATGTTGTTTATAATGATTCATACTTAAAGATGTTTTTCTATTGAGTTGCGTCTTAAAATCAACATACTTGAAAGTAGAAATTCTGACTGCTTGTCTGTAAAAATAGGAATCTGCCATCTTCTTGACACAAATCTGAAAAGTAAAATGAGCTTGAACAAGAGAAATGCTGATTGGTGAAACTGTTGATGAGAAGACTCTGAATAAAAGCAGATCTAAAGATCAGTTGTATTTTTTAAAAAATGGTTCAATTGAAATTCATTTCTCAGTCCATTCAAAAAAATTCACATTTTCTGTTGAAATCATTCAGTATTTGGCCACAAGCCGTCATTATGGTCTATAATCTACACGCAGCTCAGAGCAACACATGGTGTCATGGAAGATTAAAAACCAGCCATGAGCACATGAGCTATGCTTTAAACTGTTCATACATGTTGGTCGCTCTTCAGGACAGACAGGATCTTGTGTCTGTGCAGCCCGATGTCTTTCATTTGGTGTAGAGCGGAGGGAAGGGAAGCTCTTCAGTGGGCTGCAGCCTTTAAAGACCAAACACATGGAAACATCACAGATGAGTTCCAGAATAGGGTCATCATTTTTTAAATGTAATAGGATAGTGGTAACTTACATTTAACCTCATTTCCTAAGAATTACATCTGTTGATTAAAAGACACTTAATTTCCAGCCTGACGAGTTTCTATGAAAGTGTTAAACAGTTTTAACTGCTGATGAATTCAGCTCATTGCATTTTTCCTCATATACATTACAGTATATGTTAAAGTACACAGTGTTACTTTATGTCTCAGGATGAGACTGAGAAGCGCTGCTGCTGGAATCACCTGACTAACTGTCGACAGTAGAAACAACACAAATCCACCATCTCAACACCCACCAGTTTTCGGGGCTCCACCGGGTGTCCTGGGATTCCATGATGTGGAAGGTGTACACGTGGCGAGAGTCCTCTGATTTGTTCTCAGCACTGCGATGCACCACCTCACCGTGGATCAGGACCACGCCACCTGAACACAGAAAAAGTACTGAATAAGGCCTGTCATAGTTTATTTGTTTTAGCCAAGTTATCTAAAAATCCAAAACGTAACAATGCGTCTGGCCACTTCACACCAGTAGTTATTGTTTTGGTCAGTTTTTCTTCTATTGTGGAATTCATTCTCTCAGCCTGACCTGAACTATGGTGCTGAACAGATGTAATGTGTGAGGCTGGTCCAACATTCTTCACAATAATCCTAAACATTTTTTACTGGATAAACTATTCAAAGTAATCATTTCAGTAGATTCATTAAAGGAGTAGTTTGACATTTTGGGAAATACACTAAATACTACAAAATGCACATCCTTCATATTATTTAGTTGTTTCTTCAGCAGAGTTGGATCAAACTCTGAATCCATAATAAATGAATGCATGTTCACTCAACATGTGAACAAGGAACAAATTGTAAATCCACAAAACATCCTCACTTAGATCAAGTCTTCAATTACCTGTCAGGTCTACATGTAAAATTAAAGACAGAAGTCAATTACCTTTTTTAACAGGTACAGGAATAAACTTCTCTGCACTGTGCGTCATCTCTTTTCCGATGAAGTCTGTCAGGTTGGAGGTGCCCTCTGTGGTACGCACCATACGCCGAGAGATACCACCTGAGGAGAGGAGATGGATGAACCTTCACATGCAAAGAATAAGCACAGAAACTGGTTTGGAATACCAAAACCATCCATCCTTGTTATGTATTAATAGAATAGTAAACTACTGAGTAAGATGAGTTACAGTACATTATGATCTTACTGTTTTGGGACCCAGGAATAAACCACAGACAGCCATTGTTCAGAGTGGTGTCTTCCAGAGCGATCCACATCCCCATAACTCTGCCCAGAGGCTCCGTGTACAGAAATGTGGCGTCTTGATGAGGTGTCACTGAGAAACAAGAATCAGATTAACACTCACACTATAAACAAACTTTAACTATGAACACACTTTTAGTATAAACTCACTCACATTCTAAGCAAACTTGTAATATGTAGATTTTAGTGGGAAGAATATTTTGCATGAGTGTAAAGTACTAATAAGAAGTTTTTTAATCAATGTAGTGTAAACATATACACATGATATAATACATACATACATAAATGGATTTAGTAATAAAAATGATAAAATTAGAACATTCTTGATTTTCTTACCTTCTCCACCTATTCCTGGTTGCTGGAAAAGATAGAGAATGAAAAATGACTTAAATAAAAATGAGTTATTCAAAATGTGGACTAACCTAAGAAAGAAAATGATCAGTTGATAAGTAAGTAAGTAGGTAGGTCAGTAGGTAAAGGTATTTAGGTAGGTGGGTATGAGGTAGGTAGATTCTTTACCTTAAAAATGTACATGCTTTGCAGTATCACAGGATTTATGAGACCCAGCTTGTTGGCGATGCCCTAAGAGAAAATGACTGATGGTAATTCTGTGACTTCTTCCTGTTCTTCATTCATTAAACACAGTTCAACAATCACTCACCTGAACTTTGGTTGAATGTGTAACTTTTTTGTACAAAGGCTCATAGGCATGTAGAGCTTAAAGAAGAAGAACAGGATTAGTTAGGGACTTCAACACAAACTCAAACATGAACATGGTGTTCAGAGAATTCAAGTAGAAATCTTTACCGTGACCAACTTTATTCAGTGATCGCTGCTTTGGAATGATGAATTCACCTGCAGGTGAAGAAAAGCTCTGTCAGTCTCATCTGGAATTTCGCTTTCTCATTATTTTTATTCATTTATTTGTGAATAATTTCAACAGCGCTCACCTTTGTCATCAAAAACTCCTTTCTCAAAGAAAAAGCGTATCTTATCTCCGCTGGTGATAAAATAGTCAGTGTTTCCCTGCAGATCAGAAGGTTAACATCGGTCACCTGATCTGCCAGAGAATCATATGTTACACACATACAGACACTGACTGTTGACATAAGATTTTTCTATTGACATGAGAGGGAGGACGTCTGGGGTTGAGGTAAAAGAGCTAAAAGAGAGATAATGTATCTTCACTACAGACTGTGACCTTACAAACACACTGTCTGTATTTAAAGAACCTTACCTGCATCTTCACGTGCGAAGTAATGGAAAGCATGTGAAAGAAATACAGTTGAATTAACTGCTGACGCTGTTCAAAGATTTATCCCGGTACTTTTCACTAAGTCACCTGTGTTTTCAGCTGCTCATCGTGAACGGTGGAGAAGGTGGTGCGGCAGTGCTCCGGCACGTCCATCTGGTCCACGATCTCCGCCATCCTCTGCCTCAGCTCATCACACTCGTCGGGGGTCAGCAGCCCGTCAAGAACCACGTACCCGTCCTCCGTGTACTGTCAAGAGGGACGCAGAGTCAGTTTCACAGATTCACACGGTTGAAAAGGCAACGCATGTCTGCAGCATATTCTTTCATGACAGCTTCCAGTTTTTACCACATAAAGATTTGTTTGGTTTTGGTTTTGTTTAAGCAACTATAGATATTCAGTTTACAATCATATAAAACAAAGAAATGTGAAACAGGTAAAGAAGAGTGTTATCATAAAATAGGTTTCATTTGCCATAAATTGGATTTGTTTCACTTCACATATAGATTCAATTATTTGAATTAGTTTTCTATGTGGGGTGAGAAATAAGAACTGCAAAACTTCCACAATTCGATTGAATTTATTTAGTCAATCAGCAGAAATTAAATTGGCAACTGTTTTGATTGATGAATCGGACTGCGGTTTTGACAATCAAGAATTTTCAGGACAATGCATTGGACTAATTAGTATGCTTGGTATTTTAAAAACTTTTTCTCTAGTTTTGAAAACAAGGATTACTTGGTTTATTGCGAAAATAATCAGTAGATTAACTAATAATTATTTGCTATATAGCCCTAAAATGTACAAATTAGAGGCATTTTTCAATTCAGTTAAATTTCTGCATGGTTCTTCTTTTAGACAGGAAATATCTCACTGCGGTCAAGTGAGCAGATGTTCGTCTTTTCGTGGTCAAGTGAGCAGATGTTCATCTTGCCTTATTTGAAGTGCGCCCGTATTACAGAATGCATGGCAAATGCAGGTAGTCCATGATATGGAGCGAGCCAATCTTTTATGCTACTGTAAAATCTCTCTGATCCATAATTTCTGACAAAGGTTGTCAAAAGTTGTCCTCAGGACCATCCTGACTGTTCATGCACTCAGTATAAAGCATATTTACTGCATCATTTTTGAGCGATTCAGCCTCAAAGTTCATAATTTTGAATTGAAAAGGGCATTATGTGCAATATCTACTCTACTGTAAAATCTCTCTGATCCATAATTTCTGACAAAGGTTTGTACACTTGATCTCAGGACCATCCTGACTGTTCACTCACTCAGTATCAAGCATATTTACTGTATCATTTTGGAGAAATTCAGCCTCAAAGTTCATTATTTTGCATTGAAAAAAGGCATTATGCTCCTAGTTTATGCTTCTGCGTCACGTCGACCGACGCGGACCGCAAATCACGCAAGCGCTGTGATTGGTCCGCTCAGAACGCTTTTTCCGGTCTTTCTTCCTCGTCGTAAAAACCATCTCTGCAAACGTCTTCTCTGTCGCCCGCGCTTCAACATTTGCAATATAAGCATTTGTTCTTCAATATTGATGAGCTCCAACTCCAAATACAGCTGCTCCACCTCGGTCGCCATTGTTTACTGTTGTTTACTTTACGGAAGAAAAAGCGAGGATTCGGCTATAACCACACAAACACACAGCCACACCCCCTAGCGGCATAGCGGTGAATTGCAGAGCAACGCGTTCCCTCGAACATCGAATGCTCAACGACTGCGTCACGTCGACGCCGTACCTACGCCGTCGACGTGACGCAGAAGCAATAAACTAATGAGTCCAACACGTGCACACCATAGACTGTATATAAAGAGGTGCACACACACCTCCATATAAACTCTTTGCACAAACGTCATCAAACCGAGCATTTAAAGGCAAAGAGTCAATCGCAGTATTGCATCGCTCACCTTCTGCACATCACGGTCTGACATGAAGTCCATGTTGTTCTGCTCGGACACAGGAATCCGCCCCAGTTCAACGCTGGTTTCCGACCATGTGACCTATTAGGTCATTTAAAGTGTAACCACCAGAGCTCTAAGAGGATTTTGGACTTTAACTCCTTCCTCGCTCTTCAGAGGCTCACGGTAGAGCTGCAGCGGTCAGTGATGGCCTCTAGGTGTCGCTCGTGTCGTTGTTGTGACACAAATGAGCCACGGCGCCATCTAGTTGCCATTCCCGGTAGTCGCAGGAGCCAACATACTCATACTCTACTTTGTTCTATTTGGATTTCAGATTAATCATAGATTATTAGTAATACCCAGAAGAGGGAAATAATGGACATCACAGGGTGTTTACTTTGTCATTTTCTCAGTCAATGAGGCAGCAGAGGCTGGTGAAACATCTCAGATAACAAATAATGTGTCATCATTTCTGAGCAGGAGTGATGTAGTGTTATTGTAACTTTATTAGTCTTCTTCTTAAGTGTTAAAAAAAACACTTCTCAGTTAAACCTCGTCAGCCCTCAGGACTTTGCCCTGGAAGAAGAACCTCTCGGCAGATGAAGAAGTAACACATTCTATGTGACAGAATTCAGTGTTTATTTCATCATCAACAGTACAAAAGTAGGGTCGGAACATTATGAAATCAAAAGTTCATTTGTTCATTCATACAGACGTCACGCTTAAAAAGCCAGTGTCCGAGCCACATGGCAACAATTAATTATTGAAGGCCTTCTCACACTTGTCACATGTTTGATCCAGTTTACAGGCTTAGAATTCAGCAATGACTGTTGCTCGGGCTTACGTGGGCCGTTTACACTATGACTATAATGCACACAAGTTCAGCATCAAGCAACTCATGCTTTGAAATGATATGGATACGAAACCTGAAACCAACCAACTGTTTTCACAGATCCCTGACCTACAGGCGTCAAAATGCAGATGGATTTCATACATAGTAAATACAATCATGTATTTAAAAACATTTTATACATAGGTAGAGATTAGATGTCAATGCAATCATGGCAGTTTAATTTTTGAATTTGATTTCAAGTGAAATTGTTAATGTCTAAAAACAATCACTCCTCAGAAACATTACAGATATTACAGATGATGTGAGGTGTTATGCACAATGCCCATGCACACTGGAAGGTGAGCTCACCTCCGTTTACAGTATAATGATTGTCAAGAGTTGGAAATGTTTTAAGGAGCAGGAGCTGAGGCCAAAGAAAAAAAAGCAACTCATTGTCCAACCTCCGTAAAAACCCTCTGTGGCTCGGAAACAGATCAATTCACTGCTTCACACAAACTACACTACTTAAGGCATACATAACTTACAAACAAATATTTTATGGTTTCACTTAAATTTAACAGAAAGCAAACGTGACAAGAAAAACATTTGCACAGAATAAAAAAAGCTTTTAAATGTGTTGATTGTGGTAATTTAATGTGTTTAAATAGGACATGAAACTTACTCAGGTGCTACAAATGTTTTGTCACCGAGAGGCATTTCTGCTAAAACATCCTCTTTTCAATGCTCGACAAATGGATGACTGACCTCATGTCACACACTCGTGCTAATTCACTGTCGCTGACATGCAGGAAAGGGAATGGGGCCGCAGGTTAAATGTGCTCCACTCGTGACTCAGAGGGAAGTGACTGTGAGGGACCGCACACGAGTGATCTCATAGCTCTGGAGCGCAGAGTAATCAACGAAATATTTGTGGATATAAATCCAAACTACAGATGTGTCAGGATAGTGACGTAGACTGACCACGACCAAGGTGAAATGGAAAAGGGAATGATATATGTGACTATTTGAGCAAATCCAAATATTATGATGTGGTGTGAATAAGATCCCAGCGATGCCCTGAGAAACACTTCTATGACACTTCTGAACTTTCCAGAGTAATAGACAAGAATGAATCTAAAGTTGGGTATATGTCAGAACTTCTCCTTAAAAAACATAAGGATGGAAAAAAGTAAATATAGCCTTGACAATTCAATTGATAATAACATGACCAGAAAGTTAAGGCCAAGACACATAAAAACAACATCTGAACGTCCTAGTTTGACACTATGGTGCACTGCAGGAGGGTCAGCATGATTACAGCCATGTTACAGCCCTATAAGAGGTACATATATTTGCAGTTTAATGCCCAATACCTCAATTATTATTTGCATTAGCATCCAACAGGTTAACAGACACTATCTGCAGGTATGTAGGGAAAAACTTGTTCTTGCTCTAACTTGGCACTGTAAAAATGAAACCAGAGCAGAAACTCCAAAGCGGACATTAAACATTTTTTTAAATGTTGCACATGCAGGAGAAGCTGAGAGCTGTTCCTCTTTACACTCCATGCTGTCTGCGACCTTTAAAACCGGTTGCTAGTCAACACATTCGAGCTGACACGACTGTACTTTTAAGACTGTGTTGGAGCACTTCTCCTGTGACCTCTAGAAGGACATTTGGATTCAGCTAAGGCCTCAGTGAAACGAGATTCACTGTTAACAAAGGTGCAGTCGTGTTATTACCGTGAGACTTCACTTGAAACTCTTACATGGCTAAAATGAAAAAACATAAATAAACAGCTGGTAACAATAACAGCTCAAACCATACTGACTGATATGCGTAAAACAAAGATGTGAAAAATTACAGGCTATATGTTTTCACATGAGAAACAACAACTCATGGATGTGATGTTTATGATCATTACCGGGGGCGTACGGCTTGTAAAAATGAAATGCCATATTAGCAACAAGAGACGCCTGGCTGAAGTAAACATGGCAGGAATACACCAAATGATGCTATTAAATCCAACGCCTAAACAAGAAAAGTGTTTCAAGCACACAAAGCGCTGTTGCACTAATTTGCAGCACGCACCATGAAATCACATATTCTGCATACTCTCCTTGCAAATAAATGTTTCCCTTGTGTAGGTCATGTAAAAGCAGTTTCCTTCATTCTGCAATTTCCTGCTTGTCCTCATTTTGCTCTTGATTCAACATAAGCACTGGAGTGAACTGAGGAGGATAAACACGATGGCTAGCATGCAAACAACTGGGCACTTGAGTCACTAACGTCAACACTTGTCTTTTTGAGACAGGCAGTACCTGGCAGCTACTAACGACTGCCATCTCTCACGTCAACAGTTCATCCACTTGGGGGAGCTGTATAAGCAATAATCATTGAAGGGGTCATAGTTCACGCTAAGCATAGAAAGTACCTTGATTTCTGCTCCTTTTATTGTGCAAGCTCGCATTACTTTGAAAATGTCAACAAGGAAATTAACTGTGACGGGGAGTTTTCTAAATGTTTGTGTCTCTGTGGCTTTAATACAGCGACAGCAAACAGTGTGAGCTCAGGGACATTGTGTAATTCTCATCTGGTCAGTGAAGCAACATGTCTTCAATTGAACAAAGGTCACTTATGTTTGACGACAGGTGTATGTCCCATAATGACCTTAAAATCCTTTCCTAGGTTACGTCCATACAACAACGGTTTTATTGGTTCGTTGAATCTTGGGATAGGAGCCTGACCAATCAACGAAGGCAACCTAACCAGGAAGCGGTTGTGAGGGTCTACGTCATTGTTTCCAAACATCCCTGTTTCTGCCCATTTGGACCAAAACACAGCCCTAGAGTTTTCAAACCAAAACAGGGCCAGCAGTGTTTCCAAACTTCTCTGTTTTAGTGGCTCTAGAACTCTGGAATAATGTGGACGGCAGGTGTATCCATAGAAAGGTTTATGCATTTTCAATGTTAATGTTTGGATGTAGCCTCATTCTAGTGACAGTGCATGACACATTACTACATCATCTATTGTTTGGTTGTGCTCAGGGACCTTTGATTCACGTAATACCCCCTCTCTTCTCTGTTTCCTCTCTGCCTCTTCACTAACTGTCATATACAGGCAAAAAATAAACAAATTCATTAAATTAAGTTGTTACTCAACATTAAACCAAATCACTTTAAAGCCTGATTCAGAGGCCCAATCATAAAGCAGAGTGTGGTAGCATTTAAAGCACCAAATTGTGTATCTTAGAATCAAAATACATTTTTCAGTTTGTTTCAACAACGCCCATCTCACATAAATATTAAGACACATCTGTTAAGAATGTGATGTTTAGTCATGCAAAATAAAATAAAGCCAGCTTCACATGCATAAGTACGACATGATGCAGCGTGAAGCTAAATGAACAGGAATGGGGCATTTCTTCACCACAGCCCCTGTTGAAGAAAATAGTTTGACTTAATTTTTTTATGTGGATATTGTCTTAATGTACCTACATCAAGTTTCCTCTTTTTCTACATGACACTATGTCTGTGCTAAGACAAACTGTTTTACATTAATTAACAGTTATATGTGTAAAACTCTTAATAAACTTTCCCAGGAAATAGCCTGTGGAAAGGTTTTTGATGCATTTTCAAATAAAAACTTAGTAGTGTTGATGTAACCAGAGATACCACGTTATAGGAGATGGTTTGGGGACTGACAAAAAGGGAAAATTGGCAGATAGGAGAACTTTGTATTGCAAATTAGTCTTTCCAGGACTTCCCCTTTTGTTCTCACACAAACCTATTGATTGGCTCAACCTGTTAGATTTGCTTTCATGTAATAGTATAAAACCTCAATCAGAATGTTGACCGGTAGACAGAATTCTGTTGCCTTGCTGTGATGTCTGTCTCCACTGCTCAGTGAATACAGCTCAACTAGAACCTGCCCACAGGCTGACATAAATCAACTACCGCAGGGTATTCAGACATTGTTCTGTAGAATTTGTTCTCATTTGTTGTCGCTGAATATCTGACAGCTTTTCTTTGTAAATTAAGGCCTAAGCTGTGAGATCTGTTGATCTTCATCACTGAGTCATTTTGTTCGAGAGCCTGACGAGGGCCAAAGACCAAAATCAACACATTGGTTCATTTTTTTCCAACATCCGTCAGTGTTTAGTTGTCTCACTGCATCACAACTGCAAATGTGATTGTAAAAATTTCAAAAGTGAAATGTTGAGTCACAAGGCCAGAGGAATGGCAGGATAAACGCTGCTTTGAGCATGTTCAGTTTATGCATGTATCCCACAGCCGGCAACAAAGTGATCGTGAGCATGTTGAGCTCAATGGCAAGGCTGAGTTGTGCAAAGTTTTCTTCTGGTTTCTTTCCAAAAAAAAAAACGTTTGCTTGAGACAGGTCCACCACCTGTGGCATGCATATTTGACGTCACCTGCTTGAATCCTTACAGTTATTTAGGATGAAATTCCACTTCATCACCAAGGTTGGATGAGATTACGACAATTTTTCCTTGGAGGTCTTGAAATCCGTCGTCTATGCTTTCACAGTTCCTGTCAGGAGAGCCTCATCACTTGTCTGAACCCTCATGGCAAACAATGCTGCATACCTCAAACCAAGGTTTCACTTGCTTTATAAACAAAACCAACCCTTGTTTGTTTTTTCGCCCTCAAATCCAACTTCTCTCCTGACAGTTCACTACAGAGGTTTGGCTCATGCTTGCTCTTTATCGGCCCTCCAGAGCTGCTCTTTGACTTCTGACGGCAGCGTGTTGAACAGGTCCTCCTCCACCACCAGGCCGCTCCTCTTCAACAGCCGACACTCGCCGAGCTCAACGGGGAGACACTCCAGACGGTTGCCTCTCAGCTCCAGCTGGGTCAGTCCGGTGAGTTCTCCGAAGCGTGACGGCAGCGTCTGCAGGCAGTTGTTTCCAAGATTCAGAGTGCGCAGCTTCTTACACTGGAAGAGCTCTGGGGGCAAAGTCTCGATCTGAAGTGGAGAGGACAAGAGGCAGAATAATGAGGGGTGGAAGTTAGCAGGGAACAGAAAGGCTGAGCTGTTCAATATTTAATCCATATGACATGATTAGATGAGGCAGGGATCTGAGATATGAGCAAACGGCATTAATAAAAGAAGGCAGCTGTTTTACTTCACTATATTCAGTGGATAATGGTTCGTTAACAAATCCTGTTCATTTAAAATATGATTAAACAAAACAGACAGACCTCAGCACAGGAAGCAAATCAAAACAAGTCACATTAAATCACCTCCATAGACACGATATTCACCATTAAACAACTCATTTTAATTTCTAGTGTCAGAACAGTGTAGACGACGTAGTCAAGCGAAGCCTTTAACACTCAAGCAGGGTCCAATTTAATGGAGCTATTTTTGGCTGCTCACAAATCTGTTGGAATCTATTTTCAGTCTACAACCACATGAGCAAAAACAATAAAATAGCACTAGCCTTTACTGAAACCACATGATCCTATATACCTGCTGAGTGAAAAACAGCATTTTGAGGAGAAATGCAGTTTTTTAAATTCTCACAGAGAAGAAACTGCATCTCCCTAAATGAAAGTCCAACACTGTGAAACAAAGGAGCAGCATTTTGGTGAGACACACATGATCTCCTGCACAACACAAACCATATGAACCGCCCCAGCCATAACTGTGACAGCAGAATTTGCCGCAGCCCTCAAAATAACTGAATGATCTCTGCAAGTGAAAATACACAACATCCTACATTATGGGGATTTATGAGTTTACTGAATAATTAAACTTCCCTCAAGACATGAGAGTCTCAGTTCAGGAGCCACATCCTTCCCAAGGCTTCATTTGAAGACTGATCGCATCACAGACCCGGTTCAGAATTTGTTTTAACATCCAGAACAGGTGTGAACACACAATCTGATCACAAAGGCCACATTTGGAGGTGAATCATGTGGCCAACATCTTTTAGCTGTGTGAATGCAAAGACATCCTGGGCTACATATGAAGGACAAACTGGCTTAAAACAACATAATCTGGTCTCTGTGAACACAAATGACGTTCGTGATGGTTCACATATAAAGCAGGGAAGGGAAATCCGATCACCAGAGGTCACAGGAGAAACATTAAGGACGCATTTTATTGCCAGGTGTGAGCAGATGAACTTAATGCAGTCCACTGACGGATTATAATACCAAGTCTGAACAGAGACACAATGATGCGACGAGGCTGTCCTATTTCAAAGGCTCCTTCAAAAGTGGTCCACAAATGCGTCCCTCTATTCTAAAGGTTTGGACCAACCTAGCACGATTATATTGCGTGCCAGTGCCAAAGCTAACAAGCTGGCTATCTGGGTGGCTTTTGTCCAACATGTTTGCAGTTAGCATAATTTCACTGCTGTGTACGTAACAGGATTGTGATTACAACATGCCACTAAATCAAGTCTCCTTTTATTTCAGTCACTGGAAAACGAATGCTGATTATACATGGAAAACTGTCATAGCCTCCCTCATGTCATTATCTTTAAAGCCATAATTTCCTACCTATCCACGACCATCTCAGCATTTATAAAAGCTGACCTTTGTAAATACCTTATCTGGCCTTTGAGCTAATCTTATTTACACATGATAGAGAGATAGACGGGTGGAGAAAGGAGTGTAGGAAATGAGTCAAACTGTAAAATGGATTCATGTAGTGACTAAATTTAAATGTTTTTTGATTCTCACCCTGTTTGCTGTCACAGCGAAGTACTGCAGGTTCTGGAGGAAGCCCACATCAGCATGGATGCTAGTCAGATTGTTGTGACTCAGGTCTAAGAAGCGCAGCTTGCGACAGAAGAAAAGCTGACTGGGGATTTTCTCGATCTTGTTCCTGTTGAGGTACAGCCTCTCCAGGTTGGTGAGTGTTCCGATCTGAATAGGAATGTAGGCGATCTGGTTGTACCACAGTTTCAGACACACAAGCCGATGCAGGTGCTGGAAGCTGATGATCTCCTCTATGGTCTTCAAATTGTTGTCCTTCAGGTCAATCTCCTGCAGATTGTGCAAACTAAAGATGGAGTGAGGGATGCGTTCAAGGTCGCAGCGAACAAGCTCAAGCTCTGTCAGGTTGACCATCTTTTTCAGGCTGTTGAGCACCATCAGTTTGGTGCCCTCGTTATTGACGGAGAGCTTCTGGAGGTGAACGCCCACATCTGTCACTACCTGCGGGAGCTTGGTAAGGTTGCTCTTCAGACGTAGCACTTTGAGCCTTTTCAGCTCTCTAAGTCCATCGATGACAATGAAACGATTGTTGTCGGCACTCAGGTTCCCAGTCAGGTGCAACTCACTTAGGTTCTTCAGGCTGTAGATCCACAGAGGGATTTCCTTGATGTCAGTGAACTTGATGTGGAGGGACTTTAGGTTTTCCCTGAGGAACGCCAGAGCTGGGGCCTCAATTTTAGCTGGGGTGTGGTAAAGCCACATCTCTCTCAGGTTGGAAAGTTGGGCAATGATTGGTGGAATCGTTACGTCTGAGATGAGCTCCAGCTTGAGCACCTCCAGCTCTATCAGATCGAATACTGTGTCTGGGATCCCGCTGAGCATAAACAGATGCAACTCAAGCTTCTCCAGGGAATTTTTGGTGATGCGCTGCCTCAGCTTCTCCAACGTCCACTCGTTGTTCAGGTTCAGCTGCCTCAGCTTGTTCTCGCTCACCTCTGACAGAAACACAGCAAAGCGCTTGGAGTACAGAGGGTCATACTGATCTATCATGTGTAGCATGAAGGCAAAGTCGTTCTTCACGTCAGGGATGTCGCTGTAGCTGCTCTCCTCCCGGATTGATTCGAAGGAGTATCTTTTGAGGGAGCGGCTGACCATCCAACACAAAGTGTACATGCAGATAAAACCATAAACCACAACCAAGCTGATGTAGAAACAGGCCAAAATCTTGAAAAGTGTCGCCAACGGATGGGCACAAGAGAATGTGCTGTACCCTGTCAGCTTCTGAAGGTTCACCGTGCACACCACACTGAACCTGATGTATTGTACGTAGTAGGCTGTGTAGCTAATTATCAGTAAGAATTTGATTACTTTGATGATGGTCTGCCGTATGTAAAGACGGTAGACTATATCACCCTCCTCTACATGGATCCTGAACTTCTTCACCTTCTCAAACAGAGCCTTAGCCTGCTCTCCTTCTTTTTTATCCAACACACCAGTTTCAGAGCGATCTACAATTCCTTGTTCAATTCTAGACTTTGTTCGTTGAAGCATGGGCACGCTAGCCTCAACATCCTCACTCACGAAGGAGGCCTTCTTGTCCATCGAACCATTCATTTTCCCGAGAGGTTTGGGATCCCTCTCCTCCACCACGGTCTCGGACAAAGCCCTTGTTGTCCACGGGGAGTCAAAGCACTTGAGGAGGATGGAGACAAAGTGCTCCAGTTTTGAGCTTGTGCGTGGAAACTTGAACCAGAAGTTGCTGCAGGCCAGGAAGATGAGAGTGTGGAGTAGCACCAGATAAGGGAAATATTTGGCAAACCAATGTAGCTCGTTCTCGTAGCAGACGGCATCGACATAATTGTACTGATGGCGGTCGAGGTCATACTGAATGCCTTTGGGTTCCAGGGGGATGGTCATGTTAGCAACGGGCATGGTCTCGCATGACTTGTTGACCACCCACTTGCAAGGCAGGCAGATCATCTTGTCCTGCGTGACCTGCAGTGTACCACCGAACACTGCAATCATCAGCATGATGACCGAGATGTAGTCGGTGAAAACGTCCCACCATGGCTTCAGGATACGGTATGTTGGCTGGGTGTCAGCAAAGTACCGGAGCTCTGTGATGGGAATCATGATGGTTTATCTAAAAAAATTCAAATAAAGAACGCAGAAAATTAGGAATTAGTTGGTGAACCCCTTTATTTACGTATTGCAAAAACTTGCTATACGCAGCTGCACAAGAATTGAAACAATTAGTCCGTTTTATTGATCAGTACAACAATGGGGAAATTAATTGGGGTTTACCTTGATGTTCATGAAATAATAAATTTTTACCACAAAACTGTCAGATCAATTGTGGCTTCTCAAATGGGGAGTGGTTCTGTATTCACAAAGCATCTAAGAACAAAACACAAAGAATCAGACACCGGCTTCTGTCATCCCATGTTGCAATGTTCTGAAAAGATTAAATGATGCTGAATTACTGACGCTGAAAGATTGTGAGGGAATAATGATCTTCTGAAGAGCTTGTGAGGGATACAATAACATCTCCAACCAACCGAAACAGCATGATCACTGTGGATATTAAGTGTTTGGCAAGGTTATACTACTTGACAACAGGGAAAATGTCACTTTGAAATGCCGACAACTTGAGGATTTCTTGACCATTTGTAAACCAATCATGTCCTTGCTCCAGAGAAATTAAGCCAGCTTCATGATAAACTTCAACATTCCAAGATCAATCCTTGCACTTGCGCCTTCTCTCAGTACCTTTTGCAGAAAATATAAACTTTATATTTAATGCAATAGGGTTTGAAGGTAAAGTCTGCTTTATCTTAGGGATGTCTGACGCATCCTGCAAACCCAGACACAATATACACACAAGTCCAGATTTCTCCGTACGTCCTGACGTTCTTTGATTTTTCTAAGAACAAGACCCTGAGCATAATGACAGTGAAACAAAGGGGTTTCAGACTGCTGATCATGTTAAAAACACACCTCATGTTAAAAACCACAACAGAGCTACTTCCCTTTTCTCATACAGTGTGTGATTAATTCAAGAACTACAGCAACCTAAGCATTTTTCTTATCCAAGATGATTCAAAGCTTAATGGACTCAGCTATAACAAGAAATAAAAGTTTATTGCGGGCCAACCCTATCTTTTAGTATATCTAAGGTCATAATCGTATGACTTATGTTACCTCTTTAAAAAACTGTATCTCCCCTTACTCAACTCATATCGTAAAAGGATGAAAGTGGATAGCTGGTCAAGTGCTCACAAAAAAAGCTTTGTTTTATCCAGTTCAAACCAGAATGGCAGTACAGTCACTGCGGGCCTCCTCTGCTTGGCTGCTGCTTCACCTCAACTCAGAAACTACAGCACACAGAGAGCACAGCATCTGCCAGAACAACTCTCAGTGCCATCATTCAAATGGTATTAAACACAGACACCAGTGACGTTTCTATATATGGCAAAAAGACTAATTACACCCCACCATTAAAACAAGAATCTGCTCATTTCCACTTCACTGTTGCCAAACAGATGCTGGAGAAGCTTGAACTCGTCGGTATGTTTCCTTTAAACAAAAATAATGGCCTGTTGAATGACAGCACTGATAAGGTCAAATAAACTGTGACTATAGAGATTAATCTTACATGCGGAGAGATAAAAACAAGTTTCTGAAGCGCTTCCTCTGGCCACACAAAAACAAAGATCGAGAGATAAACTCCTAAAGTGACATAATAAAAGTCCAAAGTTACATCAAAGTTTGGTTTTACGCTGTGGGTCCGGAAAGAACCCAATACATTTTGGTGCGGATCTGAATCAGGGGAGTTTTCAGGATCCATGAATTATTTTTCTTTCTTTAACATTGTGAGATAAGGTTATTTCCAACATTTATTTTGATAAGTCTGATAATTATTTATGGATCCAATCCAAATAAAAACCTGCATCTGTTGAAATGAGGTTTCATGTTGGGCCTTGGTGGAGGTATGCATTCTGTGACTGTCTAGTCTTGTCTTGTCTATGATGCACATACTTCCAAACCACACCAATAATTTCAACCTTTCCTCTAATGAAAGCAATCTGATCACAAGTACAAAATGTACTAGAGGTAAATGGTGTCTTTATCTTAAAATTTAAAATTAAAAAAGATAAAGTTGAGACTGAAGTGAATCTCTCCTGGTTCTCTGTTCCTTTCTCCAGATTTTGTTCCGTGAACAGAACAGAGCTGCTTTTGTGCAGGCAAATTTTTGTCAAAAAGACTGAGAGAGGCACAGGTGAACCTGGCTGCTGTGAGAGCCAATATAATACAAGTACAATATTCCTCAAGGACATTCATGTCTTTTAACTCTCTTGTAGAAACAAATCCTGGCTCGTTTGTATTTTTGCAGCATATTCTCCATCTAAAGCTCCCCCGGAAAAGGTTTTAACTGAAATAATGCAAAATCAACAAACTTAATTAACAATCCCAGAAAAAAATAACTCAGCCACTGGCTACAACTTCACACCTCACAGGAAGGCCCCAGTTGTGAATCTAACAGCTGACTGTACATGACGCCTTATGTGAGGAGTGGTAATCTTCTCTTTTTGTTTCCTCTCTGTGCTGCTGCTCCCTCCAAATGTCCACAGATCAAGATATGTTAGGTTCATGTGTTGGGTGTGAATGTGTTTTTCTGTCTGTGTGTATGTGTTAGGCCTGTGCACACATCATCCTGCCCAATCCATGCTGGGAAGGACGCCAACTTCCTTGAAACCCTTAACAGGATAAGTAAAAAATGGATGTATGGATGGGAAGAATTCCAGCTTAATGTTTCATTAAATTCAGTTAGACTGATATGTGACTTTTGGATTTGTTACATCTCTTAGTATTCTCCCTGAAACATCTTCACTAATTTTCATCTAAGTATCTAAGTAGAGAATCATGCATTTACTGATTTAAGCTGCTCTCAGACATGAGCTCTGGAAAATGTTGAGAAATTGGGTCCAGACATTTTCAAGAGCCTTTCTTTTATGGGTCAGATGCATTCACAACAACAGTCCTGAGATGTTTGTATCCTTTATATTTTTGCATCCGCTGCGTGCTAAAAATGTCATTAACACACCCACTTGCTCACTGAGAATCTTCACAAAATAGTTTCTGCTGTTTTCTCTGACAAATTCCTCACAATTTATTAAAGGGCTGGTGGGAAATGTCCAGAGCAACTGACCGCGTCTCACATACAGCTCCCCTGGAAAATCAAGAAAATGTCTAAAAAAGAGCTTTACTGACTGATTCTCCATCCTGATAGCTAACTAACTGTCATGGAATGATACAGTTTAACATTATTTCACTAGTTATCAGTTGTTGAAACCAAAGTAAATCTGGAACACAATATCTCTTTTTTGGATTATTGTCTCTTCATTTGATACAGATAAATGTAATGATAATATTAAAAACAGACACTGAAGTAGATGTGAGGAAAAAATGTCTCAGACAAGTCAGTGATGAGTCTTCAACAAAGCTGGCACAGTTGTTGCATTGACAGAGAATCAATCAACAATTATTATGGACAAAAGTTTCCAAATTCCAGCTTCTCAAATGTTCTCTCAGTCTTACATCTTTGTACACTGGATATGTTTGAGTGTTTATTCTGTTCCTTGAAAACAAAAGGCTTCTCTATGGGGCATCTGTAGAAAACAGTTATCGCAGCTTCAGATCTCGGCCCATCTGCCCACGATGGCTGGTGATGGCAGATCTGAGACACTGAGGAAAGACAGGGCAGACCAGGTCTAACTGGTTCTGCCTCACAAAACCTACTTTTACTTTTTGTTTGAAGACAGCACTGACAGAGTATCTGTCTCTAGACCACGCACACACACACCTGGCCTGTACTGCACAGTCCAATGCCCTTTTCCATAAAAGATGCTATAAAAGATGTTACACAAACATAAAACAATTACCACACCAATCATATAAGCTCTCTACATAACACTATAGCCTCATGTATCACTGCAATGATTGTGTTACGATGGAAACATATACAAGGGTTGCAAATAATGATTATTCTCAGTATCAATGTTGTTTTTTTTATTCTATGTTTTGTTTATGAAATGACAGAAGAGGTTGTCTGTTCTGACATCTATACATGGATAGATTGATTATGAGATGGATACTTTATTGATACCAAAGGATATTTAGGCATCCAGAAGCTTCAAACACACATACCGGGCAAGAAAATCATATTCTTCATAAGCTCAAAACAAGATAGTTGCAGATCAATGATCTGTCGATTTACTAATCAATTAATAAGCTCTGCAATGTACGACAGAAACAATCTAATTCATAAAAGAACAGTTTAACACATAGTTCCACTATTTATATATAATATTTTTATCTCGTGTGCACAGTCTATGCGTTTCATTGATAATTATTTTATAGAAAATACCAAACTTGAATAATGAAAATGTCGCCTAAAACCAACATTTCTAATTCAATCAGACTAACAGTGCAAATACCTGAAAATGATCAGTTTCAGAATCTCTGATTGTTATGTGATAGAGGAAACATCAGACAGAAATAATGTAATTCATGACAGAGACACTGCAGGTTGTTGTGTCTTTGTTGTGTTGAGGCCCAACAGTCAAACACATAGTTCCACTGTTTATATCAAACATCTGCATTTGTACCTGGTGTTTTCACTTTCATTGATAGTATTGTTATAGTCATAATACCTGGCTGGCCCTTCAGCTGTGGTTGTAACTGATACATGGTGGAGAATATTCCCTGGGTCCAAACTAACCCGGCTGAGAGGGACTGTAGAAATCACATGAAATCGAATCTTGCCGGCGACCTTTTATTAACCGCTGCTCTCCACAACAACAGGCGGGAGGAACCGCGTCTCACGCCGATGCCCGGTTAGCTCGCTGCGGCAGAGGAGTCTCTCTGAGCCGCGCAGCTGAAAACCAGGGGGCTCAACGCATTATGAACAAACTGAGGGGAAAAAGACCCACCTGTGTTATTACTGCTGCGGTCAGTCGCCTCCTCCGCACACGGGTGACACATGTCTCTGACGGCTCTTTGCGGTTGTGGCTGCGGGTCGGACGCGGGTCGGAAGCCGGGCCAGAGCGACGGTGACGGGGGAGAAAACAGCAGCAGTGGACGGCAGCAGCCGAGCGGCTCCACAGAAAACTACAGCTGAGAGGCGGAAGTCCCGAGACTAAAGCCGCTGTCCAAATAAAAGCACGGCAGCAGTAGAAAGGACCAGGACAACAATAATAAAAATAATATTATTAAATCAGTCGATAAAGATAATTATCATGATGCCATATTATTTATATTAAGTTTAGTTTTTTATCCACTTCATTTTATTCTATTCTATTTTCTTTTGTTTTTTATTTCCATTTGATGCTAGTCTGTGTTGTTTTATTATTTTCTTGTATTTCGCATTGTGTCTGTCACTGTACACATTCTGCTCACATATTCTGTTTACACTCTATATATTATTTCTATTGTGTTTATATATTTTATATTTCCTTGTGTTTATATTGCATGTTTACTTATCATTACTTTACTTTGGTCAACTGCAGTTGTTTTTTAAATATTCTACATGAATAAAATTGGCTTGCTAAAAGGAAATATATTGTACAAATCTGAGGGAGATCAATGATACCTCTTCATTGTGCTTACACAATGTATAAGCAATATGCCGATGAATATGAAACCTTTGTTATTTGAGACAGATATGAGAAAGATATGCGGCATGGTCTTCAAGATACTTAAAACAACCCACCTGCCAAATACCCTCAAACTGTGAGCAAATGTACTGAGGAGAACTTGTATTTGCCTGTAGTGACTGTAGTGACTCACCTCAATATAGACAACTTCAACACTAATCATTTTTTATAGGTTCTTGTATGATGAAAGGGGAATTTATACTATGCTGGTTCATCAGAAGTAGTATATGTAATCCCTGTTCAGTTAATGTTCAGAAAGAGAAATACAGTTCACAAAACCTCCTCGAGGACTCATGGCGAGGAGGAAAACCTCCCACTTTCAGACTGGCTGCAGTTCCTCCTTGTGTTGATTGCCTTTCAGCTCAAACATACTTTCCTTGGCTTTGACTAGTTTGAACAATGGTGAAAATAGTTTTGTAATGAATGCATACAATGTTCTTACTGTTCCTCTAAAGCTTTGGCAAACAAAGATGTGCTGACAACTGCCTGTGCACAACATTAATTAGATTGTATATCTAATATAATATACAGAGGAATGTACAGATTGGTGTTATGTCAAAAAGATCACAGAGTAGAAAGTCATTCCGTTTCTTACCAAATTATATTAAATACCTAATTTTAAATTCATATCACAAATGTACATTTGTTTTGTCCCCCAGCAGAGAATGTGTTTTTAAACCTGCTGAAGTGTAATACAATAATAAGTGCTTTATAAAGTTGTAGGAACAGCTTGTGAATAAAGTTTGTTTTGAAAGGACCGTCTAGTGACGTCATCAAAGCGGGACGACTCCCTTGTAGATGAAATCGAATGTAACTTGTGAAACAGAGTCGCAGACATGTTGATTTCACACAAGTGTTCTCTTCTTCTTCGACCTTCTTCTTCTCCGGCGGTGACGCTGTCTGTCAGCCACTTGCTTCGCTGTTTTCACGGTCGTTCAGCTCTGTTCAGACGGTGTCCTGCGGGACCACGGACAAACACAGCCGGGACAGAACTCCTTCTCTCGGCGCAGGAGCAGCGGAGAGTCCGTTATCTGTCCCCCGCTTGTCCGGTCCGCTGCTGCAGAGGACTCTCAACCTCCCCGAGTGTCCGCAGTGACGCTGTTGGGAAGATCCAGTCAACACATTACCGTCTTGTTTACACCTGCAAGGTGGCGGAGATCCAGACAGCTTCTCTTCAATTATCTGACCTGTGTGTCTGAGTGTGAGAGTCTTCTATCTGACACACAGCCTCTATCATGTTTGCAGGTTTGCTCCACTAGATCCACGAAGCAGATTTCCAAGCTGGCCTACCACAAAGGTGTAGTGATAGTGACATGTCCAGGATGTGAGAAACACCACATCATCGCTGACAACCTCAACTGGTTCTCTGACCTGGAGGGGAAGAGGTTTGTGATGCTTTCAACCTCTCAATATAAAGAATATCTGTTTTTTTACCTCACTATGTCGATTTAAATGTGGTGGACAAAATACTTGTGAACATAACACAGACTACACCTTTCACCACAATCTGTTGCAATATCGTGGATCGTTGTATTTGCCAGTGGTCACAACACTGTGATCAGCAGGGGTATTTAACAGTGAAAAAGTGCAGTAAGACAGTTAACTGTCATACCAAAAACTGACACACACCACACTCAGAAACAGCGTATACCACCAGAACAAATGTGGTGAAACATCACTCGTAAATCCTGCCATCCCTTATTTTCAGTTATTTCTTTTTAATTATTGTGTGACATGTATCCATCCATCTATTATCTATACCACGTATCTTTTGAGTGTTGTGGTGAGGGCCCGGTGTCTCCATGTACCCGGAGAAAAGCCTCACAGACACTGGGGGAACATGCAGACTCCACATAAACGAAACAGAGAGAGTTGAACCAGGAATCCTCTTGCTGTGAAGCGACAGTGCTAAGTATTAAATTTAAAAAACCTAATATTGCCAAATTATTTTCTACAGTAGACTGTAAAGTGTTCTGCATGTTGTGAAAGCAAATACATAGCTCACGTTAAAGTTAACCGCAAGATCTCTTTTAAAAGAACATTTAAAATGAAGACAGGTAGAAAGGAAAGTGTAGCATGCTCCTTTTTAGGAGGTTTGGAAATTGATCACAAAATACTGAAGTAGAGAAACAGCACCTTAGATTGTTTAAGCCTCAAGCAACTGGTGTCTTTGAATCACCAACAACTGCATGTACACTAAACTATTTCATCTTATGTTGTTTTGTGCTTTAGAAACATCGAGGAAATCCTTGCTGCCAAAGGAGAGACTGTGAGGAGGATCGAAGGAGACGCCACTCTGGAGATCGTGCTGGATGAATCCAACATTGACAAGTCACAGTGTAGTGAAGACGCTGAAAAATCCCACAATGATCCAGAAAAATAATAATATTGTATATACTGTATTCTGTATATTGCAAGATGTTCATATTTAATTGCATAATAAATGTAAATGTTTTTAATTGCTTATCTTTTGCCATGCTTTCTGAGCAGTGAATGAGACTAGATATAATAGTGAGGGCTGCAAATAGAATCCCTGAAACTAATAAAAAAAATAATTTTAACTACAACCAAAATCCAAATATCATACACGTATATCGCCGATTATTTATATTAACAGTATTTAATCATATTTCATCTAATCAGTTACTGAAGTTCCGCTCGAAAAGTATATATATAGTAATACCTTTTATTTTATGTAAATGTACAACGCACTTCCGCTCGAGGCTGTCCTGTGTTGACACTCGGATCGAGACGTCCGTTATCGCGAGAGCAACGAGTTGTCTTCGCCACAGATAACATAGCTAACGTAGCTAACATATAGCTATCCAGACTTTTTACTGCGGTCTTACGTTTCTGTTGTGCCGCAAATGGACTGTCACGAAGCCGCAGATGACGCGGAGAGGCCGCGGCATCACCCTTTCCTAATCGGGGTCAGTGGCGGAACAGCTAGCGGCAAGGTCAGTTTATTCAGCCGGAGGATGGGACCGACAGCGGAACTTAGCATAGTAGCTTAGCTTAGTTTGTTCAGCAAACTGTCAAACCAGCCACGACACGCCCCCCTCCCTCAATGACTACTCTTTATATTATTTTAAATTATTTTATCAACACGCTCCAACTGTCAACATGACTGTTTCTGCCTCTTCTACTTATCCTGTGTGACAGTTTAGCACCAACGAGCTAACGAGCTAAATGTGACACTATAATAATGTTGTTTACTTAGCGATGATAAACTTACTCCCACATCAGGACGTTCACTCCCCGCTGATCACCAGGAGAATTCATCTCAATGCGTTTTAACCCCTCCCCCCCCTTGCTAGTTTAACAATATTAAATCGTAAATAACACTGACGTGACTTTTCTGCCTCAGTCAACAGTTTGCGCCAAGATCATGGAGCTCCTGGGCCAGAACAAGGTGGACCACCGCCAGAGGAAGGTGGCGATCATAAGTCAGGACTCTTTCTACAGAGTCCTGACCCCCGAGCAGAAGGCGAAGGCGCTGAAGGGCCAGTACAACTTTGATCATCCAGGTGAACCCAGACCAGACCAGTCTTGTGTTAGTTTGAATGAGAACTCAAAGCAAATACGTGATGCACCAGTTTCTAAAATGTGATGAGTTCCTGCTGTTCTATATTATGTATGATGACAAAACATGACATCTGATGATTTCCTCTGGGCTGTGGAAAAGCACTTTGACTATTCTCTGACATAAACTAATAAAAAATCACAAGAAATAATCAAAAGATTAATCACTAATGAAGATGATCACTACTTGCAGCCCAGGTCCATTCAAAAGCGAGTCCCTGATAAATGGGGCTTTGGCAGTGGTAGAGGAAGTACTTCTTACGATATGTTATGTTTTTTATAAAGAGACTAATACAATCTCAACAATACCAGTTGGATTATTTCACATCATGCATTTAAGATGTCACTGAAGTATTAAGTAGCATAAAATAGAATTACTCGAGTAAAATGGTGGGAAGCATTTACTCCACCACAGGTTGGTTTACTGTTGGTCTTGGATGTGTTTTCATATTAGCTCACGTAAACCAATATAACACGTTAGTCTGTCTATTTTTAAAAAGTTCTGCCAACTTTGGGTTTCACTGGACAGTCAACTTTGAAATGTTACTTTTTCTTCTTAGTGGTCTGTATGGTGTTGTATTGATCACCTTATTCACATGATCTGTGTCTGTTTATTTTCTTGCAGAGGCATTTGACAATGATTTAATGTACCAAACTTTGAAGGACATTGCGGAGGGAAAGGTGGTTGAAGTGCCAACGTATGACTTTGTTACTCATTCCAGGTAGGTTGGAAGCACATTGACTATTCGCTGATGAGAAATTTTCCCCAGTGCTCTTGTATGAGATTTCTTGTGTGTTTGTAGGTTGGAAGAAAGGATCACAGTCTACCCAGCGGACGTTGTCCTCTTTGAGGGGATCCTGGTTTTCTACCCCCAGAAAGTGCGTGATATGTTTCACATGAAGCTCTTCGTGGACACAGATTCAGACGTCAGACTCTCTCGCAGAGGTAGGAATGTTCCTGTCAAACACAATTCTACAGTTGCTGTCACAGTGCGTTGTCAATGGTGTGACCCGATCCCTCTGCAGTTCTGAGAGACATGACCCGGGGAAGAGACCTGGAGCAGATCCTCACACAGTATACAACGTTCGTCAAGCCTGCTTTTGAGGAATTTTGTTTGCCTGTGAGTATGATGACTGATTTTGTTCATGTGGTCCAGTATCAGTCAACAAACCTCCTCTGAGCTTTTATATTCATATTTTCTTGTTTTCTCTCAGACTAAGAAGTACGCAGACGTCATTATTCCAAGGGGAGTTGACAACATGGGTAAGTGTTTTTTCCCCCTATGTAGTAGCTAAAGATCATGAACACTTGATAAATCCTTCATCTGTCTCCCATCAGTGGCCATCAACCTCATCGTGCAGCACATCCAGGACATTCTGAATGGAGAAATCTGCAAATGGCAGCGAGGGGCCTTGAACAGCAACGGGCGAGGCTTCAAGCGGGCCATTACCGAGCAGGGCGACCTGCTGAGCGGACCTGCTAATACTCCAGGAAAGAGGGTCCTGCTGGAGCCCAGCAGCCGGCCTCATTAAGACTATGTGGGGATATGCGGATGATGAATGTGTCCAGACTGAGTCGGGGATTGTGGCTACTGATTTGTGCAGAGTGGGTCCGCCACTGTGATACCTGTCTCTCCGGCTTTTTAAAAAATATCCATAGTAACAATATCACAAGCGGTCAGAGCGGCAGCTCTTGGTAATTGTATTTTTATTGTTGGTGCACAACAAAAATGCTAAGTTTGTCTATATATATAGTCTTCCATGAGATCAATGATTTGATTTTGTTTGGTTTAACTGTGGTCAGAGAACTGAAATGAAAGGTAGTATAATCAAGACTGCTGTTAAAATGTTTATGTTGAGTCATGCTTTTGCACTGAGTTTCACCTTTATACACTTGAGTGTGTGTTACTTAATGAAGATAATATATTTAAATGAAATAAATAAAAATGGTTTATAGTCATTTGTTTTATATTATAGTCTGTTTCTGTTTTAATACCTTATTAAAACTAAGTTGTGTTACACTTCTACCTTTAGTTTGAGTGCTTCCTTTTTGATTTATTTAATGCTGAACTCTTGCCTTAATGTCAATTTCTGTGAATATTTGTGTTCAACAATAAACATATAATTCTGTCATGGTTTTGAGTCCTGTTTGAATTTTGACAAAAGTTTTTGAGCGGCACAGTGCATATAGAAACAGAGCTGTTTGTTTTATTGGAGTTTGAGAGCACAGTGTGATGTGTTGGTTTTATCCCAAAAAAGGAATGAAAATGATTTTTTTTTACTACAGCACATGTTGAAATGACGGACACACAAGTCGCTGAGGACTTCAGTCACACACAGACACTTTCACACAACGACATGACTGGGACATGATTGTGATCGCCTCACGGTTCTCTACACTTGAACACGGCACACAATGATTCAGTATGACATACATAGATCACAGCATCTTTAGTAATTTATCTTTTTGTGTTTTTGCTTTGCTTTTTTTAGTGCACATATGTATGGCACTTGGGAGAAGCGAAGCTCTTCTCGTAAGCATAAACATCCTTTTTAAGAACAAAAGGAGCACTGTATATGATACATTTCATAACCATACATGATTCTTACACAAACAAACTTTCCAGTCTCTAACGGCCATCCTCTTCAAGTTCAAATCCTCAAATCCCCTCGGCCTGCATGTTGACTTCACAGTTCACAGCAGGTCACTCTCAAGGGTCTGCTTTTTTTGAGGGGAACTCATGAGTCGGAGAGAGGGTCGCAGAAGATGGCCGACAAATGGCACATACATAAAGGAAGAGGAAGGAGCAACTTGGAGAGTAATGGACCATTCAGCTCACTCTCACACACGCAACCGCTCCACTCTAAAACAGAGAGCCCAGGAAGCAGACTTTGGTTATTTCCATCGCGTCTGCCCACTCTGTGCGATTCTTCTGTCCTCCTTGGCACCAGGCTTCGTCCCGTTTCACCGTAGTCACAATCTCTTCCCGCAGTAATCCCAATTATAATCTCCCAGAGCAGCAGAGCTCTTCGTAAAAACCCCGGCCACGCTTCAGTCTAGCTTGTTCTGCATCCCCCACAATGAGTCTCCCATTTGCTCCAGCGGATTGCTTCCATTCGTCTTTCTCTCAGTCTGTAGTAAAGTGGAGTTAGTGTCATGAAGCACAGTTGGAGGTCAGTCTCGAAAAAGGCCCACAAGCCCCTAGGTCTTCTCTTCGCGTTCCGTCCTGCGCCTGGTGATGTTCCTGGGCTTGATCTTGAGCGACAGCTCCCACAGGGCCTCCTCTGCCAGGTGGTCGCTGAAGTCGTTGAAGAAACAGACAATGTCTTCGTTGCGCTTCAGTTCATAATGCCTGAAATGAGAAGAGGGCCAAGTAATAATTCATCAGCAAGAAAACAAACAGACCACATGGAATAACAGAAATGTTTTATGATAGTCAAATATAATGATATATAAATCATATTTCCTGGCACCCAATACATTTCCTGCCAGGGGCAAACAAGTGATAACATTTATTACTGTGATAATGTTTACAAAACGTTCCAGTATATGTTCTCACCCCTGTCCATTTGTCAGCAGGATTTCACAAAAACTACTGAATAGATTCCACGGAACTTGGTGGAGGGATGTAACATTGGACAAGAAAGAACTTGTGATAAGAGCTGTATCCAGGATTTTCCCCCCTACATTCTTTGACATTGTGAAATAGAGCAGTTTTCCAAAAATCTTAGCTGATTTCTCAGGAAATAATTCATGGCTCTTGATGAAAAAAAAAAATCAGGCACATTTAGGGAACTGACATCTATTAGCGTGTAAAATTTAGTGCAGCTTGACTGAATTTGTTGGAACTGTTGGCCTCTACTGAAAACCATTTTAGTTTAATAATATATGTAACCAAGTGGACTTACACTTGCTGGAAGCGCCGCATGCTGTCCAGTATGTTGAACTGCTGCCAGCGTTTGGAGAAATTGACCTTTCCATCGATGAGGTCCGGGTTCCCCAGGTGGACAAAGGTCAAGTCCTGGAGTATGAGACCCCTGGAAGATGGACATGTCATGTCAAGTTGTGACCCTCAATTAAAAATTGAATGAGTTCAAATATTCATTCACTTACAGGTACGGGATACACGGAGGCTCCACTTCAGCCAGAGCAGCTCTGTATGCTCTGAATGAGGAGGAGCTGTCGATCAACATGCAATATTCCTCTAATCCCTAAAAGAGGAGGAAGGAGGAGACGGGATACAAGAGAAAAAGTGATCATCGTAATACTTATCAATGAGACGAAATGTGTAGATTCAAACACAGACATCTTGAAGACTCACCTCTGAGGTCTGTTTCTGCCACTCCAACCTCCGGATGGGAGCAGAGTCCAGGGCAGACAGTATTGCCAGGTAGGAGTTGAAATTATTCAACTTTCTTAAGTGCTGTAAAAAGACATTTGTATTAATATGATTGCATTAAACAACAAAAATACAGACAAATGAGGATGTTTTGGTTGACTCACCTTCATTATCTTGATGAACTTGAGGAGCAGCTTCTCTCTGTCTTGGGCTTTCTCCTGCTGAATTATCAAAGAGCGGACCCTGTAGGAAGGAGAAATAAACAGATGGTATAAGAGAGAAGACAGAAATGCCAATGACAGAAAGCGAGATGAGAGGTCATGATGTTTGTGGTTTTACCAATAGCTCATGTTGTTAAAGTGCTCTGTGAACTGAGTCAGGTTCGGACTCTTTTCCTCATTCTGCTCCTTGGCCCAAAGCAGCACCTCAGGAATCTGAGGGAAAACAGGAAGTGATAGGATTTAGGTTGAGGTGTAGCTCTGGGTCAAAACACAAAGAATGTCAACAAAACATTAACAATTAACTCCAACACAAAGAGACTGCTTTACCTCTATCTTATAGAAGAGCTCAGCATCAAGGAGAGTGAGCTGATCAGCAATCTCATGACTGCGGAAGTCATGAAGAGTTCCAGGCCTGTGAAGAAATGCAAACTATCAGGTGGCAACTTAATCTGTGCTGCTCTGATCCCCAGGCCACACATGCTGCGTGAGTTGTCTCCAAACATTTAACAAAATACTGTCCGTTATTCCCAATACTGAGCAATAAGAATGGCAGAAGAGCAGCCTCCCACTTGTACCATCAACACACACTGCACAAGTTTCAGCGCTGACCCTTGACCTCCCCACAATACCTTGCAGAGACCCCTCGGGCAGCCAGGGGCTTGAGGGAGTTTGTGTAGCGCAGCAGCTTCTTCTGTTCCACCTTATCCAGGATGTTCTTGCGGAGCACGCGAGCGAGGCTCAGCTCGCCATTGCACACCAGCGTAAACACCAGGTCCATCAGCTGTTTCAAGATGTCCTCTGTCAGCTCCACCAGACTGGAGGAAAGAAGTGAAAGAAGGAAATGATCAAATGGTTTAACTTTGTGACAGAAACAGAAAAGCAGAAGGAAGGTGGAAGAGTTGGTTTGTGAATTCAAATGTGAATTCAAATAAACATTAAATAAGGCTGATTGACTGAAGAATTACACAAATTAATCATTCTTGAGTTCACATTATGCAGTTTAAATGGGGCATTAATAACTATTGGATACAAAGAAAAAAATATTGAGTCCCACTCACCACAGCTCATCCACCACTCGAACCAGCACGAAGAACGTGTTCTTGCTGACTCGCTTCTTGGAGGTGTCTGAACTGTGACAGAACCCAGTATATGTGCTTCGTGGTCAAGGACAATGAAAACAATACTGTGCCTTTATCTGGATTCAAGAGCACAATAACATTCATTACTAAGGCAAATGTTTGGACATTTTTCAGGCTTCAATAAAGGATCAGAAGTTTTGCTCTTTTGAAATACAGTGGTTCCTTCCAACAAATCAATTTAATTATAATAACGTTTATTGCACACAGTTCCTTTTATCATACTCAAGATGAAATAGCAAATTTACCTAATTTATTCCATTTTAAGACATAAAATGTACTCTAATTTATCAAACAGGAAGATGACAAACAAACTCTTACAGTAAAAACAATGGGGCTTTAACTAAGTGTAATTTTATTATCATCTCTTTAATTGTTTGGTCTATAAAATGTCAGAAAAGGCTGAAACTGCCTGTCAAAACAATAGATTAAATAATTTTTAAAACAATTGCTGATTTATTTTCTGTCAAATCATCATATCAAATAATCAATAAAGCAACTAATAATCAATTTCAATCTTGGCGGTAAAATTTGATGACAAGTTCTCTTTTGGTGCCTTTAGGCAAAGCAAACAATCACAAGAAGCAGCAATGGATTCAGTAATAATGAAAGACTTTTGTATCCATCAGCGGAGCATTATTGTACTACTGTGGGTTTCCATCAACGACAGCTTTTGATTGAAAGATGTAAATAGGAGCAAACAAGATAAACAAGTCAATCCTTGGTAAATATTACATTTTTTAAAAATCACTACGCAAGAAAAACTGTCTTCTTCCAACAAAATAAGATTACGCTCAGACTGACATGTTGAGTGATTTGAAAAGGATATCTGTAGTGTAGCTTCTTAATTAGGTCCTCTGGGGTTATAAAAGTCCTATACGTAGTCAGAAAGGCTTCACAGTACAAAACAAGATCTGTCAAGCAAAAACAGAGAAAAGAAAGCAGCAGATTTAAATTAGCCGTGCAGCCAGACGTCCCAATTAACCACCTAAAGCTGAAAACACAACAACAAATGTTAAAGGCTCCATAACCCTGACCGACACATTAAAAATAAATGAACCAGAGAGAGACAAAGGCTGTTTAAGATGCTGATCAGACGAGGAGATTAGAAAAATAGCAACACATCAGTCAAACTAAAGAAATTAGACTTTACAAATACAAATAAATCTTTCTAATGATAGCAGGTCTGTCAAGCTATCAATACCAACCTGTTCCAGTGACCCTGAAGCACAGTAACACACTCGACTCTGCGTAACAAATATGCCGGTTAAGTGTGAGTCTTAATGTGTTCTGTGGTCTGTACCTTACCTTTGCGTTCTGTTTCTGTAGCGTGGACTAATAGAATATCTCCTGATCCAGCACGAACATCAGGGCCATCGTCATTCTGGAGAGGTGTGGAGAAAATGAACGACAGATCGAGAGGATGGGGATAAGTGAATGATAATCAAAGCAGGAGAGGAGAAGAGTGGTTAGAGTAGATGTAGAGTGATGCAGCCTAGCCAAAAATGTAGCTTGCACCTTTCCATATTCTGCTTGGTTTCTTTCGCCCCCCCTCCCATAAAAAAGGCCCCCACCCCTCCCTGTCCTGCAGCAGCTCCTCTGATGACGAGGGGAAAAAAGCCAGACTTGTGTGAGATAAAAGAACCACCACTACAACACGCCCTCTGAAACACATTTATGTGATCACAGGCCTTGAATCTTTCCTTCCTGCTTTTCTGATTTCAGCCCATCTCCTGTTGTAAATCATTGCTGTCACATTGCAGAGTGGGGAGCAGTAGTTTCACACATCTGTCTGTCAGACTGCACCACAGAGGACAAAGGAGGAGGAAGAGGAGGTGTAGGAGGAGGAGGCTGGTTTGGCATTTTTCAGCGATGCCGTTTCAGTGACTCGACTCCAGAGGGCAGCAGTGACTATCACTGGCACATCTCAGGATCTGATTTCACATCTGAGTGACTCACAGTGACCTTTAGTCT